CCCCCCCCCCCCCCCCCCCCCAAAAGAAGGGTGACTGGAGGATGTGCTCCAATTATCTGGGCTTCACCATAGACTGTATATGAGAAGTGGACGTATTCACCGTGATGTCATCCATTGGTTTGAGGAGTGCCGTTTTGAAGCCGTGAGTTCGCCATTTTGGCCGTCGCCATCTTGTTTTTTGCAACCAAAAGTGACACGAGAGGCAAAGTACAACCAGATTACACTGCTGCACACTTTATATTTGTAAGTCCTAACAACTTTTAATCCTTATGACGTGACACTGTGAAGATATTTAGGAGCGTATCAGTTTCCAGGAAGTGACGGTGAGCTCACCTGATCCACGTTCCCCGAGGACCTGATGAAGTCCTCACTGTCCGATTTGTTGCCGTCCTTGTCGTCCATAACCAGATCGATCGGCATTTTCCCTTTCAGACAGCTGATGTATCGATGACAGAAGTTATCACAAAGCTCATGAACCTGGAAATAAAACGTACACTAAGATTAAACATCTTAACACAGTCAGGCATTTCAAAAACACTTTCCGTCATTACAAGAGTCTCAGTAGCTGTAGTTCCATAAGAGACCAAAATAGTAAAAAAAATATATATATACAGTATATATGTAATAAATATACTGTCTGTTTATTACATATTTTACAAGTACTGTACTTAAGTACAAATTTGACATACTTGTACTTTACCTTTTCCATTTCATGCTACTTTATACTTCTACTTCAGGTGCATTTCAAAGGGGAATTGTGTACTTTTCACGCCACTACATTTATTCAAAACTTACTGCTTTCATAAAAACATATGATATACTAAAATCATATGATGCAGTATTGTCGTATAGTACTAGTAGTACACAAAGTATCTAAAATTGGCAAACTACAACATTACACGGATATTGCATGTACTCATAAGTGATATTCCATAACAATAAAACACTCTAAAAGAAGCCATTATGTAGTATATTTTATACAAGTATATTTTGCTGATGATACTTGTACTTTTACTTAAGGAACATTTTTAATCCAGGACCTTTACTTAAAATAGAGTATAGTAGAACTGTGGTATTTATGCTTCTACTTAAGTAAAGTATCTGAGTACTGCATGTAGGTCTATAACTAGATAAAGATAATGAAATTCTAGGAACATAACAGTGGTATTGGAATCATTTTAAATGACTGTTTTTTGTTCAGGATTAAACTTGGATTAGCAGCACAGTGAACATCTTTGCTGCGTTAATCTCATTACTTTATATTCGACAACAGACGTTCTGAGATCTGAGGGAATCTGACCTTCTCCAGCTCCAGGAGGTGGAAGCGCAGCACTTGTATCGACTGTACCATCTGCAAAAGAAACAAAAGACAATAATACACAAATGAGACCAAAATAAACACTTTCATAAGATAATAGTATTTACAATCATAATGGTTTAGTTTCAGAATAATATCTCACCAAATTATCCAGCTCTGGATTTGATGAAAATAAAGGCCTTTCTGATCGGATCTAGACACAGAAAACAAGTATTATAGTCATTAAACAACACAGTCCACTGCCCTGCGGCCCTGGACCCTTAAGGCCTGTTTATTGTGGTGCGAGACACCGTGGCCCTGGCCTCCACAGATTGTGCCCGAGCTACGATGCTCAACACGCTATTCTCCGAAACGCGAGAACAAAAAATTACCGGAGTGTTACCGGAAAAAAACTCCATTAAAAAAAAACCTCCACAGACCAAACATGCAACTTTTTAATCAACTGTAAACTCATATCAAATATTCGAGTCAAACAAAACAACAAATATATTATAACGAAACAAAGGTTGAACATTCTGTAAACACTTTGATTTGGAAGGCAATATATTTACTCAAATGTAGATTTTCAGATCTCCTGTTTTTTAATTATTTAAAAAACAAATTGCCCGTGTTTCTAAAATCCTCAGACATGTTAACAGTAAAAAAAAAAAAAAAATAGTATTATTTGACTTCCGAATTTAAGTTATTTGCTTTCTTCAGCTGGCACCTAGTTACAAAAATAACCGAGCACCGCGAAAGCGCTTGCGGAGCTTTCACGCTTTCTGCAAACGTCATTTCTGTCTCCCGCGTCCCTGACGGTTTATTTAATCGTAGTGCAGTGTTTACACACCGTTTCTAGTGTTTGTTAAGTGAACAAAATGAGCACTTTCATCACGGACTAATAAAGACACAATGCACAGAAAGTGGGATAATAGGGGTGTCATTGGGGGCCCACAGCTCATTTAGGCCCAGGGGCCCCCGTTCAAGGATTAATCCGGCCCTGGCCCCTTCTGATCCTGCAGATCTGTTCTGTAATATCTCCGAGACGTCGATGAAATGTGTTTCTTTACCTGTTTGGAGAAGACGGCGATGTCCTCGTTGAAGGAGTCCGAGGAGCAGACGTCTCCTCCGGCCACGCCACTCTCTCTCGGCGTGCAGGTCGCCAATTCACATTTTTCAAAAATCAGTGCGAGCAGAGGGAATAAAGGATGTCTGAGAGAGAGAGAGAGAGAGAGAGAGAGAGAGAGAGAGAGAGAGAGAGGAGGGGGTCAGCTCAGACTGTAACACAAGTTTCCTGCTGCCTCAAACTCTCCCAGAAACGTTCAAGTGGCTCCAAGATTCAGAATAATAATCTTTAGAGACTTCTATAAACAAATAAAAAGGACAAAATTAAAATCCCTTAAATTTCTTTCACCCCTATACAATGAAAGCAATAGAACTGTGTTTGTATAAAACATAAAAATGATTATACTTCTTTACGGTGTCCTTGCTTTCTCTGCATAATCCACAAAACACAAGGTCTATACTTTTCAAAGGGACTACTTCTTCAGTACTTCCAATCAGTGGAGAAACAAACATTGTTTTGGGGCGGATGAAGAAATCTCAAAACCTTGACAAATAAAACCAAAACTATCTGCACGGTACCACCGGTAGGAAGTGAGAAAACGTTTTGAAGAAAATCGGGGAGGAAGCACAACTTGGATCTGTAATGAAGCACAAAGCAGGTGCTGCTGATGCACAGGCAGGTTTAATATACTGTCCCGCTAACTCAGGACAAACCGCTTTGTTAAAGCACACAAGTTTAAAATAGATATATTTACCGTGTCTACATTATTAAAATCAAGCAAAAGGCAACTCAATGATGAGTTAAAAATAACCAGACTTAGTTACATTTCTGTAGAAAGTAAGTTTCCACATTTAGAAGGTGACGCTGACTCCAGTACGTCAATCTCATTTGTTTATTGTGATACGAGTCTGCTCAGAAACTAAAAGCTAAAAACAATGTTCCCGTAATCGAAACAGGAAAATAAAAGCATGCATTTCATGTTTGTGTTGTTTTTTAAATTAAGGACTAGTTAGAAGTTGGTTAAAACAATACGAAAGTAGTTTAGTGTCATAACTAATTCAAGCTTGGATTGAATGCTATTTTGCTTCCTTTTTATCGTTAAATAACAAGGAACCCTTTCACAAACATGTTTCAATTTAACTTCAGTAATATAATTTACATTCAGATTTATGCATCCGGTCTTGTGTTGATGCTGAGGTCAAAATGTTTTATCAAAAATATATAGTTGATTGTCATTAGCTTTGAAATGAAAGGAGATGCCATGACATGGTTAATGGTAGTTTTACAATGAAAAGACCCCAGAATCGAACCCTGAGGAACTCCAAACAAGTTCTGGTTTGAGGTGAAGCTACAATAAAACATGGAGGGGGCGAGAGCAGACTTAGCCCTGTAACAAAGACAGGCTTAAATGAAGTAATCTGATTATTGGCCATAATCTGGTTATTGTGTCCGTGTGAACACAGCCGGTAGAGCTGGACCCAAATATTTATCGGCGTTTCAGCTATTTGTTTTAAGCTAAAATGTCTCAAATGTGAGGCTTTGCTGCTTTCATCCATCATATGTGATAATAAATTAGATATCTTCAGCTTTACGGGCTGTTGGCCAGAACAACAAGCGACCTCAATACAACACCTTATGAGCTTGGGAATTAGTCATTTTATAGATAAAACAATGAATGGATTAATAAAGAAATGAATCAGTTAATTTATTAATTAATGTATGCAAGTATTTACTCAAGTACTGTTCTTATGTACTGTAAAAATCTACCTGTTTATTTCAAGGTCAATTTTATACTTCTATTCCAATACATTTTAGATGGAAATAATATACTTTTCTACCACAGTTCCTTACATTCATTGAACAGCTGTAGTTAACGTTTTCAAATAAAGTTATATACAAAACCTACAATTGGATTATCAGGAAAGCAGCAACACATTACTCCATTACTTAAATGACTCCATTTATAAATCCTCTTATTGTTTTTTTAAGGCACTACTGTATATTTCTCAGGTTTTGGGAATAAGCCAGAATAAGACGAGGAGCTGGTAAAGGTGCTGTTAGTTACTGTTGTCTGATGAGCTGCGATCTATAAAAACTCTATCTCCAGTTAGATATAAGCCAGAAACCTTCTTGTTTTCTCAGGCCTATAAACATATATAATGATCATATGTAATAACTGTGATCATATATAATAACCTGCATTTCTACACATTCATTTCCCTATAAACATTTAAAATGGCTCCACCTCACTTACCGACACGAGTCACTTTTCTGCATCGTGAGAACTTTTACTTTTGATGCTCAAACTCGTATTTTTACTGAAGTAGCGTTTTGAATGCAGGGCTTTTACTTGAAGTGAAGTTTTCTTTAATACTGAAGTGCTGCTACTTTTACTCAAGTAAACTTCTTCCGCCGTCTGTTTCTGTGTTGACCTCAAACAAGCAGCAGGCCTCACTTCATCACACACACACACACACACACACACACACACACACACACACACACACACACACACACACACAGATAATGTTGGTCTGGCTCAGCTCGGCCTGGAATGGAACAGCGAGTAGCTCAGTCCCAAACAGTGAGAAGTTAAACAGATGAATCAAACAGGAAGCTACACCAAGAAACTGATTTCACAGAAGAAGAAAACTGTTCTGAAAGAGCCGTTTTTGTCCTCATCAGTCCGGTCTTTTTTCCCCCACAGTGTGAGTAAACTCATCATACCCATAAATGGAGTCTTTGTCCCTCTTGACGGCGTCCCCAGCTGTGGCGCCAATGCTGCTGCTGGTGTGGGTGGACTGGGCGTACTGGTGTGGAGGGTATGGACCAGCAGCAGCGGCGGCGGCAGCGGCGGCAGCAGCCAGGTGCACGGCCTGCAGAGAGCGGGCGGCGTGGTGGTGGTGATGGTGGTGTGGGTCTCCATACACCCCACCCACGCCCTCCAGCCCGTAGTGGGCCAAATCTTCATACTGAAACACAGATAAGAGATGGGTGACCTCTGACCTCCTGAGTCCTCATGTAGGAGCTGTTCGCTGACCTCAGCGGAGGTCGAAACGCAGATACATTTGAACGATAAATGTGTTGAAACAAACTGTGTGCAGAGTTTAGACGTTTAACGGACTATCTCTCAGAAACACGATGAAATGGCACAAAGTGACAGACACAAAAATCTGTTAATAAAAAAAAAGAAACGCTAGTTTCACCAATTTTGTCGCTAAAAAACAAAAAGAGCCAGACTCTTCTTCTTAAAAGGAGAATGAGGTGTTTTTTCCATTTATGTGAAAGAAAAAAATACTTCTAACAACAATATAATATAATTTAATAGAACAAAACCCCAAAAGTGACCAGAAAGAATATTCAAGGACTCTCACAAACGGTGTGCAAAAAAACAACCAAGGCTACAGGTGTTCCTGTTATTATGTCCACCCTCTTGTCTATTTACTCTCATGTGATAAAGAATATGCATTCAAAAGGTTTAAACATCCAGTCACAATCATAAATCACATTATTATGCCGTTATAACAATTTAAAAGTAAGTAATTCAGTATGTTGACTTTTCAAAATAAAAAACATCCTGAAACCAGACAAATACAGACAAATTAACATTATTAATTAAAACGTCTCTGGAAAGCTGAACTGGAATATTTAATTAGTTGGCACTGTGCAGGTGTTCCTGTTATTATGTCCACCCCTGGTGTATTTACTGTGAAAGACTTTTTTAACTTTTAAAACACCAATTACATTTTCAGATAAACATAATAGAACTCCCGTCTTAACTTCTGCTTTTAAAAAAAAAAACGCCTGACACTTCAAACAATAGTGTCTCTGCACTGGGGATTCTCTATGAAGGGGGTGGACAAAATAACATGAACACTTTAAAACGTGATGCAGTCGAATGTAAAAACACCATCAAGCTAAAACAAAACATCTCTGATATTTATAAGAGGTATAATGTTTCTGTCAGACTGAAATGTGTGTTATTCAATTTGAATTATAGTCAAGTTGTCCGTAAACTTGTAGATTTTCTCAAAAACTTTATAAACTTTAAAGACTTAACGGACAGAAATCTATTTTATTTTTTAGAAAGAAAACAGGAATTGTTCTAAAATGTTTATGCCTATAATAATATATGCCATATTAAGTATGTACATGTACACATTCTTTGGTTTTGTAGTAAATCAAAACAAGTTTAAACTTTGCAATACAATATACATATTACCTATAAAAATGATCTTATTTCAACAGAAGTCAGTTTGCTTTTTAATTGAAGCAACTAAAGTTTATCACTTTGTTTCTCTTTTAAAGGGTGTGTTTTCTGGGTCTTTATGTGTTTTTAATTGACACCATTTTAAAAAAGACCGTAAAATGTTTAATCTCCAAAAGCAACAAGAAAAAAAGCAATTTTAAAAAGAAGAATTATAATTTCTAAATTAAAAAAAACATGGTTTTAGTTGTATTCCTGTAAAGAACCTGATATATTTAGATAATCACTGTATAACTACTCTTTTTAACTTCCAATGCTAAAAAGGCAAATGTTGTTTAAATAATGTATTATTCTTATGAGTTCTTCTTTGTTGAAAACATCTCTCGTGGTGCCGTTTGTTTCCTTATTTTTAGTTTATTTTCCTGATTTAAGATCTGCAGCAACAGGTTTCCGCTGTGATACGTGAGTTAGGAAACATAATAAGTCAGATATTTTACGTTATAAAGAACTTTTTATGATCAAAAAGTTGAGCAGAAGCTCTCACTGTGTGTCTTTATGTCTCTGTGTGCATGTGATCGGATTCGAGCAATCACTGATCACTGATCAACAAAACGCAGTTTAAACTTTGACCTCGACAAACAGCCGCCTGCGTGAACTAAAGTTCAAATATTAGAAATATTTTCCTGTTAAAAAAAACTTGATTGAACCGTTTGTGTTCATCAGCTCCGGTTGGGCAGATTTAACCAGCCGTGAAACAAATATAATAAGAGTTTTATTTCTTTATAATCTCCGCCGCTGAAGCACAAACGGCCGACACACACACCGACTGAACCGCTAACAAACAGTCCGCTGCACGTGCAACACAATGTGTATATATGAGTAAATAGAGCGTGAAGTGTTTCCTCTGAAATCTGTTAAAACATGTTTTTAGTTTGATTTAAAAACAAAAAGGTTGCAATGCTCATAAGTTTTGTTGGTGAAATTAAATGATTCGTTCATTTTAAAACTTTTCTCATAAATCAAAACTGAGGCACAAACTCCAAAAGGAACAAATATATTGTACAACAAGTATTTCTACAAATCACAGCAACTTTTATTATCCAAAATAAATTAATTTAGATCCATAAAAGATTTTCTGTTTATAAGTTTGCCTTTAGTTCTCTCTGAGTGTGAAGTGAATCTAATTAAATTAAAGCTCAGTTAGTGTTTCACTTTTATTATTCATTTAAAAAAAGTTTCAGTTTTAGAAAAGTGTCCATGAATGTTTTTATTTTTAAATAAATGTACGAATACATAAAGGCGTCTTTCTATTAATATGTACTGTGTCATATTGGTTGGAAAAAATCTTTCAAAAAGACAACCATTGAATTAAGTTAAATTGATTATTATTACGCACGAGACAAAGTTTGAATCATTAGTTCGTGAAATTAAAATGGTAAATATAATTTAGCTTTAAGAAACAACGTTAATATAGGTTTCCAAATAGGGTTAATGTATGTATTAGTTGAATAGTTTAAATCTAGTTTCGTCTCAGTTTTGTGTCAATTTATAGAAAAGTGGTTCACTGTTCTTCACAAATCCAAACTCAGTTTATTGATCATCAAACTCGAGCCGCTGAAGAAGCACCGTCCTCTCTCTCATCATCTCTCTGCGCTCGAATTAAAAAGTGGATTTTTACGCACCCGTTGCGCCATCGGCCCCGTCTCTCCGCCCGGACTCCAGGTGACTCCTGCGGGGCAAAACACACATCCAACTCCCCGGTACCGGAGCGTTAATCACTTAATCCTGTGTGTAACGGAGTCCAGCCGCGAAGAGAAACGCACAAACACACAGAGAGCAGCAGCAGCAGGTCACTGCAAGCTCCGCTCAGCTCTCCACGGGAACCGACCAACCGACCGACGGTGACACTCCGCCACCAGAAGCACGAGCCCGGGGCAGACGCTGTCCTATTCCCGGCCTCCAGCTCCAAGCAACAACCGACCACCCAACCAACCGCTCAGTCAGCAGCCCAAATCCGATCAGGTTACATCCAAACCGGGGGGGAGACAAAGTGAGGCGGACCCGCCCGCTGCGCTCTGAGCCGGGCCGTGCGGCGCTGTCTTCTGCGCGGAGGTGCGTTCAAATCCCCATCGCAGCTCCGGCGCAGCGGCTTCCTCCTTCCTCAGAGCAGGCCGTCGGGGTGTGAGGGGAGGGAGGGGAGTGAATAGTTTCTTTTCCCCACTTAAAGGAGCAGAGACTCCCTGCGCGTCCCCGCAGCTACCACGAGACGTGCCAAGGCGCGCAACCGCGAGGTGCACTGGATGAAGGGAATGTGAGGGGACAAATATGTCTCCACTCCACGTTGTTATTGGGGAGACAAAAATTATGACAACTTATGAATTCATTGCGACTACAGAAATAACTTTGGAATGTCGATTTTATGTTAAGGTGGAACTTCAACACAACAATGGAATAAAACTTCAAAGTAAAAAGAAAAAGCTTCAGGGGCCCGAAGACTTCTGGTTTACAATGTGGCAGTGTTTGTGTGGTTATTTGATGAACCGCAAATGTGTTATTAAAACTGTCTGAAATGAGAGGGGCCCAGAGGAGACACCTGCAGTATTACATAAGATTGAGGACCTCATTTTGCAGAGGGGCCCCGAGTTAGAATCCAGTTTTGTGGCTTTTGTTACTTTAGTTTATGTTATGTTTACATGGTGCATAAACAATGAGTGCATGGGAGAAATGGGGGTCAACCGGGACCCCCGGCACATCAGGGGCCGCATGCAAAGGTTAATATGGCCCCGAGTTAAAAGTATAGAATAAACTGTCTGCAGTAAATAGATACATATCAAATGCATAATAACAATAATATCTTATTTGACAAATATATTTTTGCACTTTTGATTTTCCTTTTAAATGCGAAACACATAATGATTTATAAAACTGAAACACTTTTTAAATGATTGACAGTAGAATTTCATTATTGAGGCAGATATATTTTGATAAAATAATACTAGAATATTCAGATAGAGCCTAAAGTCTAAGTCTAAGAGTCGACCGCACTTGTTCTAAATAAAGAAGATAAATCTGTTTGAGAAAGGAATAATGTCAAAGTTTAAATGTGGGAAAGAAAACAAACTGCTGTTCACTTTGTTTGCACAGACTGCTGAACTCTTGTGCTCATGCCCCATCTAGTGTTTGTAAAGTGTCAACACCAGCCAGAGCGCTCGCTTAACATTTACCAAACATGAGCTGTAACCAACAACCTGTAATAACCGAGCAGAGAACTACAAATATTACAGTCAAACGTAAAGTTCAAATGAGAAGGAAACCTTAAAGACAATCTCAAATCTGAACAAATGAAACATAAATTACCTGAAACACCATTAAAATGAACCTTTAAGTCCCTTTTTTCTTTCTTTTTAAAAAAAATAATTTTACAGGATAAAGGTATGAGCTTAAAACAATAGAGCATATTTAAGTTATTGTAAAGATGGTATTTAGTATCATAAACACACAGCAGTAAAGAGCTCGGCGGTGAGTGATTTGTTATAGACATTATTTTAAAACATGTTTGGCGCCACCTTCTAACAAAACTGGTGCATTGATGGGGTTTCTCTGATGATCTGAATAAGTTCCTTATTTTAATCCCTGTATCATTTTATCTATAAGTACTCGTGTTGCTACACAATCTATAATGTATCTGGACATATTTTACTTCCTGTGACTTGCAGGTTTCATCCTCATCTGAAACAACAGTCTGTGAAGAAACCTGTAAATCACAATGTGATTGAAAGTCCACTGTTTTTTATTTTTAGTGTCCTCTAGTCAAGTTTATTCCTTTATAAAGCCGGATGTCAGAACTTTACCAAGAAGCTTTTCAATAACATCCTCTGTCCTTAAACAGATGATTAAAAACTCTCCAAAAAAACGTTAACAGGGAATAAAAGGAAAGAAAACCTCAGTAAGAGCAAGAGGAGGGATCCCTCTCCCTGGATGGACGGTTTCATATGTCGTGTGCACAGAATAAACAACATAGAATGACAGATGCAGAGTCTGAAAGCGTTGCAGAACAAACATCCAGTCATTTATGTTTGTTGATTCATGCAAGAAACTAACAGTCAGTATGTCTTTGCCTCTATTGATGATATATATATTTTTAATCTGCCTCCCCCAACTTTATGAATGTACAATACTGAATCACTGGAGTATTCCTTTAATGCAACAGTATCCTTCCTTCATGGAGTAATGACACGTTAAATGAATCAATACTGATGTTTGTCCTTCTGTTTTTAATAACAGATCTGAAGCTTTGTGGCTTCAAATGCAGAAACCACAGCGACACCTGGTGGCTCGATGAACGTACTGCAGCCCCTCAGCACCAAATCTCAGTTGATCTCCAAGAAGTGTTATTAAATCTGTACTAGTTTTGTTCACATGTGCTGCATTAATCGTAGATGTTATTGTGCATCATCATCCTGATGACATTATGCGTAACATTAACACACATCTTTACAATCTCCCTGCATGCACATATTCTCGTTACGCTGTGAACTTCTGCACATCCTCGTGCACATTCTTTTTGCACATTCCTGTGCAGCTCTTCCACTTTAAAAACAGATAACTTTACTTCTTTCTTATATTTTTCTATCCTATGTTATGCCTCTTTGTACTGTTATTAATGCACCAAACCCACCAAGACAAAGTCTCTGTATGTGCAAACCTACTTGCCAATAAAACAAGTTTCTGATTCTGATGTTACAGTAAAATAATTATTAAATGCATCGTCCAAGAAGCTCATACACATAAAATATGAATGTACCATTTTTGGTGTAGCTGAGGCCCAGTGTCACTGTGGGCTCATTGAGTCACACTGTGATGTGATTGGAGAATAATAATTAAATAATTACTTGGTATTGGGTAGAAATGTTCTCTTACTTTTATTGTGTAGTTTTAGTGTTTCTCTAGTGTACACTGGCAGAAAGCCCACGCTGGAACACAGGGAGATCATTTATTCTAAATATTGCTTTATATTGAATAGAGCACTGGCTTCATTTTATCTCATTGAATGTTTCCTTACAGTAAACTATGCTAAATATTATTTGAATGGACTGTACATAAAATAACTTGGATGTGTAGACTTAATCCAAGAACCAACTCATAAATACTTGCAATAATAAAACAACACAAAGAGTTCTAAAAACATGTACATGAAGGTAACATCTATCTACAGTTGATCCACTTCATCAAGCTTTTGTTTGTTATGTTATATATTTAAAAAGAGAAACATGCAAACGTAGTGTGATGCTAAAGTAATGATGAGACAGACATCGTGGTAAAGTTTTTGAGGAGGCATAGAGTAACTCCACATCAGTTTAGCAGCTGGATGCAGCAGGACGACGTTAAAGACCTTGTTTTGTTTTCTAGGTAAGTTTTGGAGTCAAAGTTGAGACAGAAGTTCTGCTTTTAATAATAATTTGGCAAAGATATGAAGAAATATGGACTGACATTGGAAATGTGGATTAAATTAGTGGTTTGAAAATGCCAAACTTGTCAACATTGAAATATATCTAAATAAACATGAATCACCGTGATTTCTGAAATGGTGCAGATCTCGACCCCGACCCTGTTTCTAACTCTTCAGACACGTAGCTTTGACTGAATATCACCCGAAGATCAGTAGATCTTATGAGTGACACATTAAAATCACGGAACAGGACGATGAGTATCTGCACTGGACTGTCCAAATAAAGTGAGACCAAAAAAAAAGACACAATTAAATAAGGTCTAAGAAATATAAAACACACAGAGAGTCACGTCTACCACTTCTTCACCAAATAAACATCAAACACTAGAATATTGTAGAGACAACAGCTGTGGCGCAGATGTGAAGTGTAGCTGCAGTAGCATGACTCTGCCACAAGGTGTCACTTAAACACAGTAGTTTTTAAATGTGACAGAAGAAGAAGAGCATGTTTCTACTGATGGTCAGCTGATAACAAACTGAAGGGAATATAAACTAGGGCTCTTATTTTGAAGAATAGTTTGCACAGGTGCTTTTAAATAAATATGACATTACCTGAAAAACACATTGTGGTAATTTATGCTAATAACAAAGAAAAACATCTACAATCTGAACACATCGTAAAACAACTGTCTGCGTGGTAAAGAATAAATATACACACACACACTATATCAATAACCTACCCAAATAAATGTAATTATGAAAGGGCACATCTGCATCACACCCCAAGTGAAGACACAAACTTATAGAGAAAGGTTTACATGTATTTACATGTTTAAAATGGAAACACATAAAACCTTTCAGAGACATAAGAACCCTCTCTCATAAGAAGGATGTTATCATGTGCACATTTGGTCCCTCTACTGCAACTGTTAGTGCCACTACTATACTATTAAATAGTACTGATACCACCTCCACTACTCCCAGTACTACTACAGCTACGACTACTCCCTCTATTACTACTTCTAATATTGCTACTACAGCCACTGTACACAATACCACTGGGCAAAAATACTTTTTTAATTTAAACCACTTCCACTACTCTTATCACTGCTATTAGTACTAGAATACTGTACTAGACCTGCTAGTATTACTATGCTACTACCATAGCCACGAGTATTTTTTGTAGTATTTCTATTGCTCATATTTAATACTATATTTGCTGCTGCTAGTGTACATACTATTTATTAAAAGTAGAATTAATACAATAATACAAATATTAAAATTACAATATTGCAGGTCTATTGGTTCGTGCTATCTATTGCTGCCATATGACACATACAGTGTAGCATTTGTAAACTATTATTATTATTATGATATGGTAAAAGCACGTGACTCTGCAGTCCTTCGGGTCTGACGTCACTGTCTCCCCTCCTCCTCCTCCTCTTCCTCAGTCCGCTCCGCTCTGCCTGCGCTCACTGAATCCAACATGGAGTAAGGAGGAGATGGGGCTCGTCCGGGGCCATCCTCACCGATACCAGCGCACCATTTTCGGTCACCGCATTCCAGCCCGGTCCGGCGGGGGAGGAGGTAGAGGAGGCTGCGGAGGAGGAGGAGGAGGAGGAGGTGGAGGAGGAGGAGGAGGAAGAAGAAGAAGAAGAAAAGGCGTAGGAGCAGGAGGAGGTGGGAGAGGAGATCGGATGCGCCTCTTCGGATGCGCTCCAATAATTGAGGAGTGAAAGGAGAAGAGGAAGAAGAAGAAGAAGAAGAAGAAGAAGAAGAAGAAGAGGAGGTGGTGTTGGAGGAGGAGGAGGAGGGGGAGTGGGGAGGGAGACGGAGATCCGAGAATACATAACGCACATCAAGAACCGAGCGGAGAGAGGGAGAGAACCGGATCCTCCGCCGCTTCTGCCGCCGCCGCTGCCGCTGAAGGGCGAGGAAACATGAAGACACCGCACTGTGCAGCCGCGGCGGGAGCTTATTATTACCGGAGGTGAAACAGAAGAAGATGAGCGAGGACACGCGACCAGACGAGTGAGTATAATATTAATAATAATAATAACACACCGCATCATTATTATTTTCTAATTATTATGATTAGCTGCGTATTGGCGCGCGGCCGCTTGTGCATTGATCACATGGATAGGGATTGGTCCTGATATGTTGTTATGGGCTCAAGTGTTGAGGGGGGGGGGCTCCTCACCCTCATCCTCCTCCTCATCTTCCTCCTCCTCGTGGAGAGGTTGGTTGAGGTCGGAGAGATTTCACAGGAAGAAGAAGCGCGTGCAGCCTCCTGCAGATGCGATACAGTCATAACAGAGAGGAGGCGATGGGGGTGCAGTTTGCATCATGATGGACTTGACAGAGCAGACAGAGGAGGTTCTGCATGAGGCATCGCGTGCAACATCCCAACATGGCTTTATTAATGAGCATGTTAGCATGTCCTTCCTTCATAGACAACTGCTGGTTCCTGGTTCGTCCGCCGGTATGAAGCGGCCTGTCCGGCTCATGACCCCTTTCCAATGAGGCCACTGTGTGTTGTGACTCATCATGAGGGTGCATATGTCTGCAGGCTGTGACCAGTTCAACTAAAGCGGGATTATTCCTGCTCTGAAGGGGTTCGTTGGTATTTAATTATCCAATAGAAAAAAATGTTCCAGGTACAGATTAGACGGTAGAATACGATCCAAGATTACACTTTGACAATCGGAATCAGGTTTTATTGCCAAGTGGGAGTTTGCCTTGGTGCAGCAATAAAGACATGTAGTCCTATCCTGTAAAGAGCTGGAGCAACAGATTCATTAGTTTGGCAAACTTAAAGCTATTAAAGTTATTTCATACTTAAAAGGAGGAAGGATTTTACGACTGTAGAAAGTTATCATGGTAGCGATCATATTATCCTTCGGTGTAATGACTGCCAACAGCAGAATTAAAATGTTTAGTGCTGTGGCAGAAATCTGTGCTTGAACTTTTTACGCAGTGCTGTTTAACCATTACACGAGCAGTTAAAGGGTAATTACGGTATATTCTGACCCTATTTTCTCATGTTTTTATGAGTAATTAAGTGAGTAGTTGGGACAACAGCTTTTGAGTCCGGTATCTTAGAGAGAAATAAAAAGTTTCTCCTGATGAGGTCTGTTTGTTTTTTGTGAGCCTCGCTTGAAGAAGTCTCATTCCGAAAAGCTAAATATTCAGCCCAAAATCACAGTAAACCAGTTCAGCGGCTGCAGCGTTCTCCTTCAATACTGAACCAATGGTTGCACACACTAACCACTTAGACACAAAATAAAAAGGCGAAAGTAGGTTCAAAAATACCAAAGTTGCTCTTGAAGACGTCAGTATGTTTCAAAAGAAGTGCTCGTCAGAGCATCGAACGTCCTGAACTCCGACACTGGAATAGACCGAGCTGCGTCCGACAATTTTTGTAATTTTCACCAACAGTTATTTTTTGTCTCTAGCTCTCTGTTTTCATTCCTCACAATTCTGCTATTTTTCATGGTAACCAATGAGTGCAACACCCCGAACGACTTCCTGGAAAGACTTTCTGAAGGAGCTCATTTCTGGGACGCGTAGCGTCGAGACAACAAACAGTCGAAAGCTGTTAGCGAGAGAGAGAGAGAGATCTGGGAGATGCAGCCAGGAGGTAGAAACACTTGACTTCAGACGTGGTCGTATGACACGACGTGTGTGTTTATTTGAAACATACTGAGACCTTTAGATCGGATGCACTGATCCAAAAGATATGGATGTTAACAAGTGAATCAGGTCCGGGTACAACCTCCATGTGTGCAGATGTGGCAGCAGGTATGCAGCAAAGGTGAGCAGCGCACCGAAGGCTAAAGTACACACAGGATTACGATGGATGAATGTAGCAGAGAGAGGAACGTGTCATGTGAGTGTATACCAGCAGACTCGAGTGGATTGTCTCAACAAGCTCGCAGGCTTCGCTTCCTGTTCTTTTCCGGGCCTCTAGATGTTGTTTCCTAATTGTAATAAAGTACTAAAAGCTGCAGAGTTTGAATGAACCGTTTGAATGAACTCCTCAGCAAATCAGATTGTTTGTCCCGGGTGGAGAGCGTATGGCTGCAGGTAACCTGAAGAAGCAGGCCACCCTTTCCTTTGGACGGCCTCGTGCTGAGCACACCCCTGCAGGTAAACACATGACTCATACGGCCGCGTTCGGCCAGATAATAGGCTCAACTTGTGAAATGTTTACCCAGACTGCACCAGGTCCGCAGAGAGAAGCAGGTAGCAGGCTGTTCGTTTGGACGCGTGGGTGTCATTTTTCGCTTTGGTCACCCCCTCACACTTTTAGTGTTATTGACTCACTAAAATCTGTTGATACACTCGTCGTCGTCTCCAAAGTAAGAAAGTAGCTCAGGCCTCATGCAGGTCGAGTTATCCCCTCTCTGCAAGCTAGGGTGACATTTTGGTGACAATGTGTAATTGTGATAGTCTCTTAAAATGATGAAGATATGCAAGTAAAGGACGGTAACGTTTTAAATATATTTTAACACTCATGGTACACATCTTATTTCAATAATTTTGACCGACATTGCGATATGATTTGTGATATTAGATTATTTTGTTGATTTGTACCAAACAAAGATGCTTCCTTGAGTTATGTAGGCCTGGACTCTACAGCAACACAATGTGTGATTTAAAATGGTATTTTGAAACATATTTTTACCCGTAGTTTTTTTTGTGTTAATGCAATTGAACCTACAGAAGAAAATTCGTCAGCGGCACAATGCAGAGAGGTTGAGAAGTATTTAAAACTGAATTTGCGGAATAGCTGAATGTTGTAGTCAACGACTTTGTTTAGCAGCAGCACAGTAACAACGTCAGAAAAGTATTGGTCAATTACAGCTGAGTATGTCAATTCATTCATTCATTCAAATCTTTATTTAAGCCTCGAAATGTCTCTCATTGAAACGAGATCAGAGCCAAACAAACCCAGAGAAGACAACACTCAGTGAACACAATCACACTGAGGTGAAGTGGTGTCATCGTCTTGAGTTCCAGGTGTAGTCAGAGTGTCGAGCGGCAACAGCAGCAGCAGCTCAGTAGCTTCACCAACAAGCCCGATGTGCAGCGGGAGGAGATCTGATACTTGCTCGGGAGTTTTCATTGTTTTGTTTGGAGCGTTCTTGGTTTTCACTGGACGGTGAGGGACTGAAACTCTCCCCTGCCCCTCACCAGAGGTGTGTATGTGGGGGTGTTTCCTATTGATCGGGCGAACCGATGCCCCCGGACCCGCCCACAGAGAGCTGTCGATAACGCCGGAGGGGAGGGAGGAGGGGTTGACAATGACATTGAGGAAAGGTCAGCAGGCAGCAGTGTCCCCGGTGCTCCGGCTCCACCCGCACACGAAAACGTCGATTTTATATTAGCGCTGACCTCCATCTGAGCTGCTGGTGCCCGGTCACTTCAGCTGAGACGCTCCGGTGATCGTAGACGCGCAGACAAATATTTAAAAAAAGTAGATTTTGGGCTATTTTGCTTCCATAACATGTCACCTTTCAGACTAGTGGAAAGAAAACATCCAAGATACACGTTTAGCTGTTTATTTTACTACTTTGTCTGTTTGCATCTGTAGATTTATCCTAAATTCACCAAACGTTACCATTGCATAATGCCTCATTTGCATCTTAAAACATACAATTTCAGAAAACTTGTAATACAAAAACCAATTGTCTTAATGTTAGTAATGAACTGGTGAAGTTTCATGGTGATATCTATTAGTTAATTTTTTGACCCCATTCACCTGTAGTGTCTTCAAAATGTCTGTAATTTAACTAAACATCTCTTTAAGGACGTTTTCTCTAAATGAGTTTTTTCTCCACTTCAGTAACTCTTACATACACCAAACTTTACAGTTTCATTCCTCTCTATAGTCTGAAGGTTTCTACCGAGGGGTTTGTTCACATATCATTCATAACCTCATTTATACAACATTTTATTACTAAAAACATGGTGATTTTTGACTGTTGAGTGTTTTCTGATTTACGGAGCGACAAGAAAATGTATCCAAAAGTCCCTCTGTAAAAACATTTTACTTTGTAAGCAAATTAGCACATATTTGATGAGAGAATGCCTCATTTGCATATTTAAACATACATTTTCAGAAAACGTGCGATACAAAAAATAATTATCTATATGTAGGAAATCAACTGGGGAAGTTTCACCTGTAGTGTCAGATTCACCCATCACACCAATGAAGAACAGTTTTGTATTGCTTTAACACAAGTTTGATTATTTAGTGATACATATATATATATATATATATATATATATATATGTATCACTAAATAATGTTAATAATGCCACATAATCAAGACGGAGGTTTAATGAAATAACCTGAGATTGAAATTTACCAGGATAAAAGTCACAGACGGTTTGATGTGAGGAACATGATCATTAAATCATAATCATTAAACTGCCCGATTGTTTGAGGGAGTAACTTTCTGTGTGATTTTTACATATAAACAGCATCTCAATGACTATATTTCAATATAAAGTTGAAATATAGTCATTGGGATGCTGTTGGAGTGTCTAAAACATTTATTTTCAAACTACTTCAACCAGATTTGAACCTTTTTGACCTACAGACCACCAAATCATAACTTCCTGGGATCATTTCAACGTTTTAGGTGTTGAAGTTGAGTTTGGAGCTCGCCGGCGAGCGACGTCCGACCGGACAACGTGACGCCACTAATGGAAGATGGATTTCCTTTGTGGGTCGGTGCGGATTGACTTCACCGCCGCTCACGTTTCACACATCCGGGGACAAGAAAAACAAAACAAAAAACTCAACCTCTAAAACAGGGGTCTCAAACTCCCGGCCCGCGGGCCGAATATATCCCCATAGTCAAAATTCTGAGATAGAAAGTCAAAATGATGAGATACTTAAACACACAGTCGTAGAAGCAGCTCTTTGGCTGGTTACTGTACATTTGACATGGAGATGTATTGTGAGTACATTGAAGACGACTTTAAACGTGGCTTTAAAACACTATTTCAATATTTCATGTGGGATTGTGCAAACGCACCCTTGAAAGGATTTTAAGCATTGAACAAAGTTATTGTATTAACTTGTTTGATATTTGTCTTTGCTATTTTCTTTAATTGTTTGATAGAGTAATGTGGGTTTCTTAACCCTAAATTAAAAGGATTTAAGTTATAATAACAGAAATGTGTGTAATTTTTACATTTATATAACTGCATGTACAATATTTTTACACTTGAATAAACAATAATCAAATGCAGAGAGTTATTTAACAATATGTTACTAGTAGTTACATTTACAACCGGCCCTTTGTGGGCGACCATGATGCTGATGTGGCCCGGAGTGAAAATGAGTTTGAGACCCTTGCTCTAAAACATTCAAAAAACATCACGCGAGATGATGGGCGAGCGAGGGAGGAGAGTTTGGCAGAGAGCGAGTCAAACACCATCTGCTGCTGATCCAGACCTCTGAGACGCAAGGTTTTCCACGCTGATGATGATGAAGTCATGAGCCCGGATGGACCGCGCGTGCATGTGTGTGTGTGTGTGTGTGTGTGTGTGTGTGTGTGTGTGTGTGTGTGCGTGATTGACAACACGTGTGTTCCTGTGGGAGCATTCTGTGTAGTTATGTACTGTGTTTGTGTTTCTCTTTCATGATGATGGAGCAAACAGACCACCAGAGGCTATTATCTGCATCTCTGGTCAGCGGTGTGTGTGTGTGTGTGTGTGTGTGTGTGTGTGTGTGTGTGTGTGCGTGTGTGTGTGTGTGTGTTATGCTGCTTGTTTAAGTGCATCCACACACTGTTGTTAAAGTGCTCTAAGCAGCCGTTTCATTACCGTGTCCTCTGAGGACAGGGCTGTTTGAGGGCAGGGATGTCCAAATGGCGGTTTGTGGGCCACACTGGGCCTCCATAAATAACTACGTGTAGCCTGTTTCCACCACAGGAACCAAGGTCATGTTTCTTTTTAGGGACTCGGGAACCGCTTTGACTGGAGGAACCCAAAACTGTCCCTGCTGTGGGGGTAGAACATCCTGGAGTTCACTGCCGTTCACTGGTCCAAACACAAACTTCCTGCTGCAGCTTCTTTCGCCCATTTAAACAAGCTCTGGTTTCCACCCCTAGAATCAATATCAGAACATTCCTTATGATGTTGTTGCAAAATGTAGATCTCTTGGAGACGCGGCCCCCCTGGAGTCTTCTGTTCCCTATCTTCAAGTCGTCTTTGCCTTCAAGTTGTATTCCCTATTTCACCGTCAGTGAACTAAGCTGCAGTAATAAATATGGAGGATCAAGACGCCAAAGCATCTGAGAAGCAGAGAGTGGAGGTATTCAGGGTTCTACCCAGGCAGCGACTTGTAGTTCTGACGAGTGAGGCCAATGTTGAATTGTCTTAAAAACTTGCGTTCTGCAATTCAGCTGCACAATTCTGTGAATTCACCCGTCAGTGCCTTATCTCCACAGCTTGTCAGGGATCATCCCTCACAGCTAGTAAGTCCTAAATGTTGGAGCTTTATGGAAAAGCCTCAAATTCTTGGTCACGATTACCAACTGATGTTGACGTGACCAATGTTATCTCATAAAAAACACAAACTTTGGTTTCCTGAGAAAATAACAGACGAAGATACTTAACTGTTGGGTCTGATTTGGGGGGTTCAAGTTAAGGTTAAAGTATTTTGATCCATATAATGTAAAATACTTGTTGAGTCCAAACAACACACCATACTATATGGCATTTCATGTAGTGCACAGAGATTCTGTTGGATCAGCCTCGACTTATTAGGACAAATAAATTAGCTGAGTCATCAGTTGCAGGTCCTTTAGCCTGTAAAAACTGTCTTGTAACTCCCAGCGCAGCTCTGTAGTGCATTTCTGATCCGAGACTGTTAGTCAGCCGCTCTCTCTGCTCAGACAGTCGGTGAGAGGAAGCATCGGTGATACAGCGCTGACGGAAAAACAAGCTTGTGTCTTAATGGGGGGAGGAGTTACCGTAAACCAGCATGACAGAAAGCCGACAGAATGATATCTGCGTCCTCAACCTCGAGTCCTTGAAGGACAAAAATGTCTACTTCAAAAACACAAAAATACTACACATTATCTTTCAACTTCAGTCCTCATCAGACCCTGATAAAAACTAATTAAAAACCCCGAATGTCCCGTTAGATGCAGAAGTAGGACTATTAATTTATTTTTCTTTCTGTCTAATTGATAAAGGGACATTTGACTTCTCTATTGATTTTCGACTGGTTTGATTGGCCGACATCCACAGCAAACCGACTTTGAGAAGATTCTCACAAGGAAACGAAACACTGACGGTCGTTGGACTTTGTGTCTGAGTCAGTTGGATGACATCACCTCACCTGTCCGGGTGGAGGTGGGCGTTGTGCATTATAAACTTTTGACCTTCTCTTTATGAGCCTGACAGCGCTGAGACACCTGGCACACACACACACACACACACACACACACTACTGATAAGAGCAGTCCTCCCACTAAAATACAACCTACATTTTCTAACCTGGAAAGACCTTCAGAGGGACGTGGTGTGTGTGTGTGTGTGTGTGTGTGTGTTGTGATATTATATAACACACACACACACACACACAGAGCTACATCACACTGGAGCCATTCAGACAATGTACGAATGTTGACTGGAACATTGCATCTTTTATGATGCACATATTACAGTCGGTTGTATCGTGTGTCGTGCTGAAAGTATTAGGCCGTGGTTACGCCTGTATTTTAATTACAACTTTTGTCATCCGATCACGACAGGATGCATTAACTGTCAAGCCTGTGCGCCTCGAGATCGGATCTTGCTCGCATTGGGATCCGATCATCCAGACCACATGCCGAGGTGTCCAGGCTCAAGTTTAGATCTCAGTGAGGATCATGTGGGAACAATCTGAACATTTGATCAAACATAGGTCTCCATCATTTTACCCCCACACGGGAGTGTTTTATAAGTCCCCCAAAAACGAGGACTTATAAAACTTAAATTATTTTACGTATAGTAGATTTCTGTCTGGTCCGATGTGTTGTTGGGGCAAACCCACCGATTGACCAGCGTCCTAAGAAAACGTGACAGACTGCAGCCTGTAAAATACATTTTACATCATCAGTCATTTTGTAAGTGAAGGTGTCACTGTTTGCAAATGGAGGATCTCTCATTTTGGAACCAAACTCAAGTATATAGTCCCTCCTGTGTGTGTGTGTGTGTGTGTGTGTGTGTGTGTGTGTGTGTGTGTGTGCGTGTGTCACTGCACGCTGCCGGCAAATGCAGTGATGACTCATGCTACACACACACACGAGCACCATCTGTTTGACAGGCAGGCTGAATCACACAGTGGAGGGAAGCAGTGTGTGTGTGTGTGTGTGTGTGTGTGTGTGTGTGTGTGTGTGTG